GAGCGATGGTCTCGTGCTCCAACCCGCACTCCGGACAACCAAGAACCGACCGGGTCGTTGACCCCACTACCCAAACGCATCATGTGTGCGTACAAACTTTGCCGTGTGGAATTTCGCTATTGGGGTATGCAAAAGCGAGTGGAACAATTTATTCACGATTCTGGTGAGTCAGCTAACCGGCATGATCGTGTATAGGTGTACGATGGTTATTTTTCCCCTAATCCCGAGCGTCTTAGCCTGCTAACAGCTTATTAATATGGCCACATCTGATCTGCGCTTAATACGACTTGTCAATCGCTAGTCCGTTATATATCAGTGTGTTTGTTACAAAACTGAAAGAAAGATGTTGAGTGGAAACAATCGTATCGTTGGGTCCTTCGTGGGTCTCTCCTTTAGAAATTTGATATTCCACTTTTACGAGCTTCGCAGTTTTTTCCACTTTGTCCATCAGTTATGCTTGTGAGTACACAGAGTGAATCTACTCCCAGTGTGTTGATGTAACTGATCCTAGTTGCACGATTGATTCAATCATTCGTCAAGATCCATTCAACTGCTTTCATCTCCGTTCGCGAAAAACGATATCATTGCTCCATGGATCGTTCGCTGTGTTTTATCGGTGTGCTTCATCTCCTTTTGTGATCATGAAGGACAAGATTTCTGTTGATGTATCGACTCACCAAGAGATGAGAAATTTTGTAAGCATGCTAGCTTTTCGCTTTTTGGATTCGGACAAAAATCTATCCGAATCGCTCCTCTTGCTTTCGCCCGACATACATGCCCATTGTATAAAAGAACGTGGTTCGTCATTTGCATAGTAGCCAATGGCCACACAGCCTCACTGTTACTAGATGATAGGTATGATGCCCGCTGCTCGGAGTCGAAACTTGTCTTTCGGTATGTACTCCTGATTCGTATTTGGTAGTGCTGTTTTGGGGGTCTTGATGCCACAGCGCTAGCAGATGAGCACTCTACTGCGCTCAGCAGATTGACCCCAGATGTTACATTTACACAATGAACAATGTTGCGATATAAGGTATGTGTGACCTGATTCGCCGATGTTCATTTGAGGTTCCTGGCTATTGCACCACTCCGAATGTCCCTTTAATCTTGCGTGTTGGTTAGCATAAAACGCGATCAACGCGCAGCAGACAGTTGTTTTGCTCATGGCATAATGTCTCTATATTCCCATGGGTGTCTGCATTGCCCCGAGGCCCCTCGAGTTCAATCTGACCGTCCTTCTTTGCTCCTCAGGAGTTACTGCCTTCTGTACTGTGTATCCCGTGTCAGTCATGCAGAATGAGGATGGTATAAAGCACTGTAAACCAAACACTAAAACCTACTAACTAATGTTCTCAAATCATCAACCTGGCGGTGATGGCCCAGTGGTAACGTCACCAAATTATCACCCCGGGGAGGTGTTCGAATCCCACCACCACCGCCTGACTTTCCCCATTGTGTGGCAGCCCTTTGATTGGCCGCTTACTCCTTCCTGAAATTTATATATTTATATATTCAATAAAAGGAAGTAAAAATGAAAGGAAAGAAAAATGAAAGCAAGTGATTTCAGTGATCATAATGAATACTGTTTGATTTGACCCCATCCTGCATATTGTACAAGGTGATGGGAAAGCAATCGTTTTGAAGCACCACGAATGTTTGCACATTTTTCTCAAATTCCCCAAACGTGTGTGCATTGACATTGCATCAAGCCATATCATGCTTGTTCTTTTCTTGTCGTGCTTATCAATGAAGTTTACTTGTACTACGGAGGTGAATTGCCTTATATATGATGGACATAAAATTTCGAGTTAAGTCAAGTTAAGCTTTATGCATCCATTAGGATGAATTTTAAATTGTGATATGGTTTGGGTCTGTTTGTATAACAGCGTGTTGTTTAGTTCATTCAAACTTTCATCTCCTGTCCGCCCCACCAGAGAATATTACCATTTCAATATATATGATAATCCTATTCGTGTTTGTTGGAAATCAGGCGAATAGAATCAGTACAGGGAAATTTCTCTCTTCATCGTCCGCTTTTCCATGCATCTCGTTTGAACTAGTTCTTCCGACTCCGGACTGATCTTATAAATAGAACTGGGACGAGTTGATCATAGACTGGTCGATTTACTAATGAGGGAGGAAATATGAAATCGGAAGTAATTCCATAATTCGGTGTTAACCCAATATTGGTTGATCGATCAGTTCAGCGGTGCGTAGAGTATTTCATTTTGGGATTTGTTGTAGTCACTGATTAATTAGCCTTCATGTGATGAACTTCCCGTCCGATTTCGAGACAGGGATCCATTTCAGGATTGATGATATTTTTATTTTGCTTCGGGCACTGTGAGACAATTTAGGGCTGTTGCTATCCCTATTATTACTGCAATTGTTTTTGCCTTGTTCTTTCATTCATCATGTTTTTAGATTCATAGTTTCCAGATAATCTGTTGTTTCCTCCGGGTCACAACTAGCCACAATAAGTATACACGCCGTTGTCCGGTTAGGCTGATATCCACCCTACCTTTGTCCTTCAAGCGTTATCCAATCCTTTAACCACAACCCGTCATTCTTTAACCTCAAGGCACAAATTGTACGCATGCCGCAATAANAGCGAGTCATATCAAATAGTATCGGAATGTCCTGAGGTCAAACGTTGGAGAACAGAGAGGGTATGGCGATCGTATGCTGTGCATTGAACCATCCTAATGGGGGTAAATGCAGCTGGTGAAACAATAGTCTTTTCTTTGCATTCACATTCACGCCGAGCACATTGTTAGATGCGTATAATGACAGGTTAGATATGAAGAATATTAACGCAACCGGTTGTCCTGTGTCTGTTTCGCTCCGGTGCGACGAATCTAATATCGCACGACTGCAGTGCAAGGAGACGTATCCAAAATGCTCTACTCCTGCAAGTAAAAAGATCCCCAATGTAACTAAGTGGCATATTGTTTAGCACTCAAAACATATCTGACAGAAACCAAAACGCGTCAAGGTGAAAAGGTTAAACCTTACCGTTTCTGAGCATCATTTAAAAAGCACTCCGTTTGGAGAATTAGACACATGGATAGATAGTTCGAGGTTAATTAAGACAAGTAACGCAAGTGCCCCACATAACTGTCTACAGTTTAATCTCGTCGCAACATTTAACACAATTATGACGGTCAGCTTTGCAGCGCGCGATTGTCAAACTTTCCCTTTTGTGTTCACCATGCTCGTCAGCATCAACATTTGTAAAAAAATTTCCAACATTCATTGATCTCTGAATATTTCGATAATTTTGACTTGTTTGCTGCGACAGGTGAAATTTGTACGTCAGGGTTGGAAGAATACAGGTCGTGGCTAAGTAAAATCGATTTCTCCCTGTAGCTTGGCTGGATAGGCTGCAGTGGTAGATCAGTTTAATGGTTCTGTGTTAACAGGTTGCGCCACTCTGAATTGGTTGATGAGATTATTTTTGGTCAAAGAATTCCAAACTTTTGTGGTCATTTTTTTGAAATTGAGGCTGTTTCTTAAACTTGTTAAACTTGGACCAGATAGACGAGATAAGTGTGCAAGCAGAAAGAAATAGGCAAATGTCTGATCAATGTCACACTGCCATAACTGTCTCGTCAGTTCTGTCACATGATACTCATCAGAGTGCAGTTGCAAATGACACGGTACAATTCACGTGAATCGGATGGAGAATCTTTGGGTGTTATGCATTCGTTGTGAAAAGTCACACAGTCCGTTAACAGTGTTAGCTCGTGAAAGCACTACATCTGTAACTCACTTGCTGCATGATTCATCAATTATCATTTATTAATTAGATCATGAATCTGACACATTGAACACAAAACCGCTGTGCAGCTGATGCGGCTGCTTCGCTCATTTTGTACCCAAGTTGGCACAATTCAGCCGTGTTAGCTCTTTGCTCTGGCCCAGTCGATTCGATCAATACACTCTGTTGGTGACACCGAACAAGGCTAGGACAAGTCTCTCTCTCTCTTTCAGATATGCAGTCATCGTGACTACTATTTGTCGCCCTGGTAGAAGGGTTCTCTGGAGTTGTGGATTTTTTTCGGTTTCAGTCACTGTCTAAGAGTCTATTCACACGTTAACCGTCCACCACATCTTTGATTTTAAGCCACATTAGGTTATTGATCCCAACAATGCATTACTCTACTCGTCTCTTTGATGGTAAGCATGCGGTAGTTCATTGCATGAAAATAATTCTCTTGAAAAGTTGAAGCAAGTAAATTTGTGATTTATGAGTTGCACGCAACTTCGGCGCACATCTGGCGCAACCATTCATGTGTCACTTTTAATTTTCCAGCGACAAACTGTTGCATCGTATCGCTTGCTGATGACGTGAGGTGAATCGTTCTCGTTCAGTCTGAATAGATCCTTTGCATCCAGGTTTTGAACCCCGTTGGATTCAATGAATTAGAAATACTGATTACATCTGACTAAAATGAGGCAGCGTTGACAATGCTACCAGAGAATTTTTGTGTCCACTTGTCCTTATGCCATGATAGCAGGAGATTATTTTATACCAACTCTATACCCAATGCTCAAATATCATCTTAATCACGTGAGCACGTCTATTTACTCTATAAGATCTCCGTTTTCCTGTTGTCTGTTACCTCCGTTTACGTGTACGAGTGCTTTGCTGTGATGGTTTTTCTTCCAGTTACAGTAGTGTAGTGGTTCTATTATGGCGGTGGTGGGAATCAAACAACCGAGGTTGTCGCTGCTGAAACAGTCGCATTTGATTGGGAAATGTGTTGATTTCTTTCTTCACGTGCGCACTTTACCGGCTCGTGATCATAACTGTCCTTATGTAAGTCATCGCTTCAGATCTAGCATGCCTGATTTCTGACAGTGTCAGTTACTCACGGAGTACACCTTTTCTACTGTGCACCATAGATTGACACAGGATTCCTGCATATATCACGTTCTTATCGTCTGTTAGGCTGGAGTCCATGTCAATTTGAGTACCCACAATTTATTGAACTAAACTGTAAACTTTTAAAGAATTGGAGCATCGAATCTCCGCCCTCTAAGCTGTTCAAAGGGACTCAGGAAACAAAAAATTTCAAAATGATTCAAGTACCGAGTGTCATTTTGGGCGCACATGTTCATGCACCGCTTGTATCCCATCCAATCCATCACCTAACCCGTACTGTACAATCCTATCTTCCATTCATACACTTCAATGGATTTTTTCCTCAAATAAAGATAATTTTAATATCCATTGCCTGATTGGTGTGCATTGGTTTGACACAGTATTTCACTAGCGAATCAGCCCTCTCTCTCATTGCTGTATTACACACGATCTTTACGGCATGGATAACTATGAAACGGGTATTGCTACCTCTTGCGTGTTCTGTAAGCTATCTTAAGAGACCAAAAATAGTCTAGTTGGTAATCAGGCGAATTGCGATTCGTGGTTACATCATTGTTTATGTGGATTCACGCTATTCTCATGAACAATATTAACCATCCTAGACAACAGTTTGTGTGAAACAAATACATGTTGGTATCGTTTTCTACGGTTCGCTTATACTTCTCTTAAATATATCAGTGAAAGAGTCATTATGATCCAGGTAAAATACAAATGCATCTGTTTTCACCGTTTAAGTTACGCTGATAGTTGAAGCTATCTTGAAATCGATTTGATAGTATATCATACAGACGTACTATTCACTCGACATTTTCAGTCAACACCTTCTGTCTATCTGATCTGTCCATTTCCGCTCACAGCTCTGCGAAAAACCATGGTCCGTGCACACCGACAAGTTTGGACATGGCAGGATGAATGGTATGGTCTTACAATTGAGGAAATCAGACGTCTAGAAGAGGAGACTGCCCGAGCATTAGCCAGCAAAATGGCAGAGAATGCTCTGGGAAATGAGTTAACCCCCGCTGCTCCGGTCGAATATGCGAACGGTTTGGATGATAAAACGTCTCCTACAGGAATACCTCAGTCCGCCTCCTCTACCTTCCCAGAATCCTCTTCCGTTAACTCGGACAAGGTAAGTGTGTCCTGTTGTGACAGGATTCAATTTCGTCCTGCGGTGTGCTTACCTTCGCTTAAAACAACTTTATTCCATTTTGCAAGTTATGTTGCCACAGGCAGTCATTGCGTTCCGTACTCAATGGCTACACTGTACCCAGTCTGCCGCGCAATCTATTGAGCATAAATTTACCATCCCTTTACCTACATACGAAGTCATCGAACGTCATTATTTCCCATTTTTCCGATTTGGCTGAATGAATTTCACACCGGGTGATCGCTGGACTGTGTGCATGTGCTTCACTTTACGTAAATTTCTCACCGGTCGGTCCAAAACCGCCGTGCAGCTTATTAGGGTCAAAATCTGAGGTTGATAGTGGAGACCAGGTGCGGGGCTCAGGAGTCCAAGTCTCGTCCATTTTTGCGTGTATTTAGCCCGTACGATGAAGTAGTTCCCTTGGAGTCAGTTTTAACAATTTCCTTGTAGCAGCACATGAAACACCTACATTCTACTGCGGAACCATTGCATCAAGTTGGCTCATCATCATCATCATCTTTGTACAGCGAAGTACAGTGAACCGGATTTTACTGATCGTTGCCAAACTCCCGTTGCATACAAGGTTAGTGGTAAAATTTAAGGTGTACAGGGATTGAACCTACTTTGAGTGAGGGGGAAGATGGCGAATCTCTATGGTCAACACACAGAGTACACAATCGAACTCTGCATGCATACCGTTCCAAGCATTCTGGCCTGATAAGAAATGACAACAACAACGACACTGCTGTCGGTTCGCTGCAATATCCCCCAATGTGCACTCTTTCGGACCCCAACCTGGTTGTCGCGAGACACCTACTCAACCTAATAACTCTGTGAATTTCTTCGCACCTCATCTCCACGTCATCTGTTGATCTCCACGTGGTTTCTTCCAGCCCAGAGCGGATACAGCGAATAAGATGCAGTGTAGTAGACGGTAGCTGGGCATACGCAATACATGTCCAAGCCTGCGAAGTCCACTAATCTCAATTCGATGTGCTAATAGATTTCTACCTGATTGACTTCCAAAAACACAACAGCTTACCTCCAGATTACTAACCTGTTCGCTCCATCTCACGTGGGCTAAACTACGTAAACACCTAAAGTCGAAAATCTCTATTGGATGGATATCTTCTACTCCCAAATTCAAGGTCTCACAACCATAAAGCAGAACTAAACGAACGCCAGCACAATAAACACGACCTGTCAACCTCATTGAAACGTCGCATCTACACCAGAGGCGTTTCAATTCTGCTCGAGCCTTCTAAATGCGAGCGGCTATCTGTTTTGCTGCGCTTCTGTAATTGGTCACGCTTTACCCAAGTACGAAAAGTAATCCAATTTAATTAATTCTTAGCCATTTAGTTCTGGAGAGGGAGTAGGTGACACCCAGTCCTGCAGCATCACTTTGCACTTTGAAGGTGCAAAACACATACCGAATGAGGCAACAGCACTTTTTACTCAATTAAGTGCGTTTTGCGCGTCCTGCGTACATTCGAACAGACGATGTCACCGGCGTACTCTAAATCGCACAGCTTTTCTCCATCTGCCCATTCAATACCTACGTTTTGGAGACCACTTGGCTCTGGATGCCATGTTGATGTACCGAGGAAAGCGAGCTTACTAGTCTATACTCAACCCAAAGTTGTTGTACAAACATGTGAACACCTCTCGAAAAGCTAAGTCTGGGGTTCCGTCGTGTTTTAGCTATAACAAAGTAGGTTTTTTTATTGTACACTTTTCGTGTGATGAACAGCAGACGGGGAAAGCCCCATAGTCACGAAGACCTGCTGCTCAGTGATGGAAACCGGTAACCTAAGCCCCTGGACTTGGTGCGTTGAAGCACATAAGGCCCCGATAGGTTAGGTGTGGTATTGAGCCGGACGACAGCAAGGCTGCTTACCACCAAAGTTGGTTGGCGGTGGCGGGGCTCGAACCTCGGGCCATAGGGTCCTGTGGCAGCGACTAAACCACTGCGGTTATTGAAATGCTCAATGCTCACTGCAATTCACAACATAGGGCTACGATTCCCTTAGTTGCCAAGTTACACTCCATCTCCGACACCCATCACAATCACNCTCCCGAAAAAACATAACGAAAACTGTCGTCTTTCAAAAACAACTCACCTATAGACGTAAATAGCACATCCATAAAACCCCTATCACTCTTGCAAGTCACATAACTGAGCTCTCAAATGGGTTATTGACAGCACTGTATTTTCAAAATACTAAAAACAAGGAGTTATTTAATCTATTTACAAAAATGACTGTCTTAGTACCTCGGCTACTACTGCCTCATCACTCTCCTTCCTGTACTATCCCGATTCATGGACTCTATTCTTACAAACGCTTCTATGAATCGTTTGGAAAAACGTGACATTCCCAGTCTCCTAACGGGGTTCGGTACCACTAATTCACTTCCAACTCGTAGAGAAATGAGAAAAACATTTGAACTTTTCGTGTGAATCACGAAATCTGCCACAGACACTCTCCGACTGCGAAATCAAAGCACTTGTACTCGGTTGGATCGAAAAGGTTCTTTCACAATGTACCATGGCAGTTCGAGTTTCTGATTCTTTGCTGTCTTGTCCCATCAGCGCTGCTCGCGAGATTTCACAAAGATCTGTACTTAGCATTCATAGTTTTCTTTTTCATAACCGATCTATCGAACGTTCTGGGACCACAAACAATGCTGTTTGCAGATGATTCCAAAATCTGGAATACAATGACATTTCTGAAGGCTAACTGGCACTGGATGGTACACCCAGCGCTGCTAATCAATAGCTGAGTGGGCTGGCATTGACATCGCTACATCAAAATGTGCGGCCATATCACTACACCAAAAGAGTCCGTTTTCATGTTTGTTTTCAGTGTACATTCGGTCACACGTTGAATACGCCATTGGAGCGTGCAAGTCTCGTGGCTACAACACACTCGCAAGGCGTCGAAATGTCCACGAAAAATGACCACCAAGATGACTGTTGGACTGCAATTCACTAATTGGGAAGTGGAAAGAAAGAAATCATTGGGTCTATACTCTGTATGCCAGAATTCAAGGAGACTTGATTTGGGCATGTCAAGTGCTGCATTGTTGATGCACCAAGTCATCCACTGCTTACATCTTCTCCCAGTGTCCACCTGCAGCGATATTCATTTAAGTTAATGCTCCAAAAATGTCGACTGGGATGCCGGCGTCATTTTTTGCCCTTAACAGTCTGTTCCACTTGGAAAGCTCTGCCACCCCTCATCGTATGTGCATCCATAATTGACTGTTTCAAGCCTCGACTTGATGAATCATTAACATTTCTAGCATTTTTGATCTGTTATTGCCCGAACGAACGATTTATTTGTAGCAAAAACTCTACGGGATAAGAAAAACAACAGCATGTTATCGGGTATCATGATGAAGCTTTATTTTTGACTGAAGTTTAAAGAGCACAAACCGGCTTGATTGGAGTAAGATGTAAAAAGACTGCTTGTGTGAATGTGGTCCCCCTGACATAAACAGGCCGTCAAACGAAAACGACACACTGAAAGTCATCTACGGGTCTCCGGAAAACCAAACCAATTACACACGCAAAGGCCGTTTGACCATAACCGAAATAGTCTATCAAATTACGAAATTACCTTTTTGCGCCCATCAAAGAGGATAGTTGCCGCACCTCAGTTGCCCTGGTTTCTAATACACGCATATATATATATATATATATATATATATATTTCACAGTGTATCAAACTAAACAGA